GCGTCGTGAAGTGCAGAAGATCTTTGTAGTGCTCTGGTGGACTTTCTCATCCGAGAACTGACTCAGTGTGAACATTCAGTGAACACTTCGCAGTGCTACGCATTCAGGACATAAGATACAGCATCACCGGCAGCGCAAGCTCACCACGCTTTGCACGCCGGCGTAGCGTGGACACGGCTCACGGGCATCCGCATTCACGAGGCCGGCTTTAGATAAATACTATCGACCCGTGCAAGTGATTAAGAGACTTTTCATCCACCGGTATCTCATAGACTACCAAACTGTAAGCTTTTATACTTATTAAACTGACACGGTATTTTACTCAAACGCCAAGAGTGTTCGATCACGTGATTACTACCCTCGCACGCGTGCATCCGTTCCCCGAGTCTCTCGCCGCAAAGCCCTCTCACCCTGCTTCCATCCGCAGCGGTCCAGCGAGCTCTCCCAAAAGAGAATCGCCAACATTTTTTGGTCCTTCGAGCCGGATGCGGCGAGGCTCTCGGACGGATTAGCTCAACCACGCAGCGATCACGTGATCGGCGGCGCGCACAGATACGGTCCTACGCGTCGACCAAGTGGTCTCACGGCCCTTTCGCGTGATCAGTGGCGCGCACATACACGGCTTTCCGCATTGTTCACGTGATTTCACGATCCTCTCGCGTGAATCTCATCGCTAATTTTATCTCTCTCTTCTCTACCTATACTTCTCAACCTCTCACGCTCTCTCGCCATGGCGGACGAGACGAAGACTGGCAAGACGGACCGCTCGAAAACCCCTGTGTTGGAGCTGCCTCCAGGAGACCGCACGTCGGGAAGGACGACATCTCCTGCCCGGCTTCCGACGGAGCTCGCGCTCAAGGTGCAGACGCAGATGGGCCGGATTGCTGCACTCAGGGAGTTCACCGAGTCCCTGCCGGATGTCCCAGCGGAGACGTCTAATGAAGAGGTCTCGCAGATCCAGCAGCTGATCGAGGAGACTCACAAGGCGTTCGTAAAGGAGCACGCCTATTTCGAGGTGTCATGTCCTACGACGCTTACTCACCATGAGTACTTCGCCGAGAGCGCTCACCAGGCTGAGTTGCGATGCTACATGCAGGCGCGACGAGTCATCGGCGTGCTTCGTCACGCATTGGCAGATCAGCCCGCTCAACCGCAGACCAGTTCATCGACCGGCGAGAACAGACAGCCGCTCTCACGCTTGCCGGACATCTCACTCCCCAAGTTCACCGGGGAGTATGCCGCATGGCCTGCGTTCAGAGATCTCTTCACCAGTCTGATCATGGAGAACGAGCAGCTCACGAACGTCGAGAGACTTCACTACCTCCGTTCGTCGGTGGAAGGCGCGCCAGCCCAGCTGATCGCAGGATTCATCATGGCAGGAGACTCGCTCACGCCGTCCTGGGAGTTACTCAAGGACAGGTACGAGAACAAACGTCTACTCATTCACGCCTGCCTTGATAAACTGTTCGCCAGCTCAACCCCAGTGCCAAGGAAGGCGGCGTCCTTGGATCGACTGGTCTCGGGAGTCAGAGCAGCACTCAAGGGACTGGAGGCCCTCGAGGTAACGGACAAGCTCGGAGATTCCGCGGTGGTGTATCACGTCACGCGACTTCTGGATCGCGTGACACGGGAACAGTGGGAGAACGCTGTTGGAGCCACGCGTGACTACCCCACGTTCGAGACACTCGAGGAGTTTTTGACGACCAAGAGACGGGCGCTCGAGCGGATCGAAGCTACGACTCATCCAAGTCCCAGCTCAGCACCCTCACCACCAAAGAGGGCTCACCAGGCAACTCAGCAGAGCGACCCATCGTACCCGTGCGACTGTTGCAATGCGCAGCACTTTATTGTGATGTGCAGTAAGTTCCGGGAACTGGCACCGGCAGCCCGGCACAAGGTGGCAGTTGACAAGCGCTTGTGCTTCAACTGCCTGGGGAGGCACAGTGTGCGTGCATGCAAGTCGCAGCGAGGTTGCAAGACCTGCTCAGGGCGGCACCACACAATGCTGCACGGCACACACCCAATAGCAGCGCCAGCCCAGAAGACCGGTGGGTCATCGGTCACGCCCGAACATT